TAACTTTCATTCTTTGGCACAATAAGCCGATCATACATTAAATATCTTCATTATAATTCCTAAAAATAATATTACAGGAATCCGAACTTTTAATTACCCTTGACTATTAACTTAACATTATGGCATATCGAATTTAAAATAATTTGGAGTTATGTAATTGTCTTCGATTTTATTTAATAAGATAAAAAGACTATAAATTTCTGCATACATTTGGAGTAATCCGATTTGGTAATAATAATAAAATCGCATTAAATATAGTTTTTCATATTTCCATAATTAAAAAAGATATTCTTTTGTCCGAGTTTTATTCAGATAATCAAATAATTATAAAATTACTATATATGGAAATCCGGTTTTACGCGATGCCAAGAAATTAAAAAAAAAAAATATATAAACGGTGCATTTATTTTTTAATGTAGTTTTCAAATAAAGAAATTAAATAATAAAGATTTGAAAAATTTAAACAATTGTAATTTGATTTCATTTACTCAATTTCTTCATTTTGTGCAAATACAAACCAGCGTCGTTTAGCCTTCGTTATTTTGTTACTATATTTTAATCATTACGAAGAAAGTGTTTTAAAGCTCCTTTTCATTTTCGAATTCTAATATAAGAAAATAAAAAATGAAGCGAATAATAATTACAGTCTATATTTTCTTAATGTTGACATCATTCGTCAAATCAACTCCATTGGACTTGCGAAAACGTCAAGATACTTCCACCGACTTTAAAAAATGTAATGGGGAATACGCAATACACCTTACTTCAATGGATTATTCTCCAAATCCAATTGTCACGGGTCAAAATATCACTGTTCACATGGTTGGTGAAACGGCCGAAGTCATTGAAAAAGGTGCAATAATGAAGATTTATCATGATCATAAAGGAAAGTTCGAGCATGAACTTGATTATTGTAAATTATTTGTCGAACCAAGCGGGTTCGTTTGCCCAGTTGAAAAGGGACATCTCGACTTTACTGCAACTTGGCTTATAGGGAAACATCCTTCTGAACCAAATAAGATTGTATCTCCATTATATACGAGAGTCTCCAGTATGTAAATGACAAAAATTTTTATGATATTTAACTGTTCAATGAATTAATACTTTTCTTATTATTTATTATTAGTTTCGAATCCAGATGAGCAAATTCTGTTGTGCATCGAGGGAATACAAAATGTTTTCCATCCTTAAATGAAATAATCTTTCGTTCTATAATCCTGAAAATATGCATCTTGTATGATTAGTTTGATGTGATGTACATGTACATACAGTACATCATTATTTTACTTAACTTTTTCAACAAAAGCAGAATTTTATGTAACTGTTAATAAAGTTTCAAATATAACATTCTATTATGTGATTCAAATCTTTATTTTTAAGATCATCAATGAATGAATAAAATGTAATTATAAATTATTTGCGAATTAACTTTTGAATAATCGAAGTCGATGACTAACTAG